AGCTACAAAGGATCTTAGCAATCATCTAATCTAACCTCCTCATTTTGTAGAAGACTATCAGAGAGGTTAAGTGAATTCCTCTAAGTCACATAGGCAAAAAGTAGCAGAACTGGGATTTAAACCCAGGCCCTTTGACTCAAAATCTAATTAATTCACTGTCCGTTGCATTCATAGCCAAAAATCATGCACGTAAGGTCAGAGATAGGTTGATATTGAAAATAGGTGGCAGTTAGGAGGTAAGAGGAACTTTATTTATCTTTCAATAGTATTTGATTTTTTCCCCAATTACATGTAGACAATTTTTAACATTCATTTTTAAAATAAAATTTTGAGTTTCAAATTTTCTCCCTCCCTTCCTTACTCCTTAAGTAATTTGATATAGATTATATATGTGCAATTGTGTAAAACCTAGCTCCATATTAGTCATGTAATGAAAGAAACAGTTGGCAACAAAATTACGATTTGGAAAAAAAAAACCCAAAAAATAAAGTGAAAATATTATGCTCTGATTTGCATTCAGACTCCATCAGTGCTTTCTCTGGGCCATGGATAGCATTTTCCATCATGAATCTTTCGGAACTGTCTTAAGAGCATTATATGGCTGAGAAGGGCTAAGTCATAGTTGATCATTGCACAATGTTGCTTTAACAGTGTACAATTGAGTTGAGTTTTAAAGGACAAGTAAACAGGTAAGTGGTACAATGGATAGTCTTGGAGTTGGGGAACACCTGAGTTCCAATCCAGCCTTAGACACTACTTGTATGACCCTGTGCAAGTCACTTGGCTTCTGCTTCAGTAACCTCAATTGTAAAATGAGGTATTTTCTTCCCAGGGGTTTTGTGAGGATCAAATGAAATACTTTTTAAGCACTTACCACAAATTCCTGAAACAGAGTAATCACTTCAAATGTTTGTTCCCTTTTCCTTCCCTTTTAACAGGTGAAGTGGTAGAAATGGGGCATTCTAGGCTTAAGGGGAAAGTATGCACAAAAACAAAAGGGATGGATAATAATAACAACTAACATTTATATAGCACCTACCACATGCTAGGCAAATGGATGACAGGGCAGCATGTAAGGGTGGACTGGAGGCAGTCTGTAGTCTGGTTTGGCTAGATTATATAGCAGAGGACTATGTAATGAGGATAGAAAGGCAGTTGGTGCTAGATTGTGTACAGCCTTGAGTGTCAGGCAAGGGAGTTCAAATTTTACTCAGTGGCAAAGGAGAGCCACTAAAGATTTTTGAGTGGAGGAATGCCACTGCTAGATCTATAGAAGCCAGAGTTTTTATTCTGGGTTCCAGAACAGATTTCAGGGGAACAATGAACTTGGATGGGAAAAACAATTACATCTTTATTTTCACTAACTTTTGGTTTCTATTGTAATCTATGTATTTGATTTTATGCATTTAAAAACATTTTTCTGCAAAGGGAACTATAGGCTTTATTAGACTTCCAAATGGGTCTATGACACAAAAATAGGTTCAGAACTCCTTATTTAAGTAAAATAAATATTTTATAGCAGTATGAAGGACAGATTGGACAGATATTATGAAGTCAGGAAGAGTTTATTGCAACAGATGCATTGGGAAAAGACAGTCTAGTCTTCAATTATCTTTCACCTAAATTATTTTTTATATATGAAATTATAAATATTATGCATAACTTTTAAATATACAGGGCGTTCATAAAGTCTTTAAACAATTTCATACTTATTTTTCATACTTGTATAATCAAGCAAAACAAATTTACACATTAGTCATGTTGGAAAATGCAGGTCTTATTCTGCAACTACAATCCAACTCTTACCCATGGCAAGGGAAGCAAGCTTTATTATCAGTTTTCTTGAGTGGTGATTGGTCATTGCATTGATCAGAATTCAAGTCTTGTCAAGCTGTTTTCCTTTTCAGTATTTTTAGTCATCATATAAAGCATTCACCTGGTTTTGCTTGCTTCATGGTGCATTATTTCATACAAGTCCTCCCAGGTTTCTCTGAATTAGTACCTCTAATAATTTCTTACGCTAAAGTGATAGCCCATTACATTCATATTACCATAATTTGTTCAGTCAGTTCTCAATTGATCTCACTTCAACCATTTCAGTGGCTTCTTAGTCACCCTGCCTCCAAGTTTGCCCTCCCTCTTCCACAAGTCAATCTTCATACTGTTGCCAAATTGGGGCAGCTAGGCAGCACCATGGATAGAACACAGGCCCTTAAGTCAGGAAGACCCGAGTTCAAATCCGACCTCAGACCAAACACTTAATGCTTACTAGCTGTGTGACCCTGGACAAGTCACTTAACCCCAACTGCCTAATTAAAAAAAAAAACAACTCATACTGTTGCCAAGTTAATCTTTCTTACACTAAAATCTGATTGTTTCTTCCCAAGATCAAGTTCCTTAACCTAGCATTCACATTCCACAGGCTAAACTGGAGTATTCTTTCCTGAAGAGAATGACCGTTCTCAGCCTCATCTGCTGTGTTCCATATCCTCTTAACTACAGGTATATCCCAACTGTGTCCTGGGTCTTGTCTTCCATATATTCTGACTTCGTTATTTCTTCATCTCCCATGCTTTTATGATCTTTATACACCTATGTCCAGTGTTAGTGGATATATAGCTGTATTTCCCACATCACAAAACTGTCTTTTGGACATTTTGAATTGGATACCCCTCAGGGAAGGGAAAGGAACAAGCACTTGTATTACACCTCCTATGTGCTAGGCACTATGCTAAGTACTTTATAAACATCTCTTGAGCAGCACAACCTTGGGAAGTGGGTGCCATTAGCCCCATTTTACAGCTGAGGAAGTTGAGTGAGGTTAAGTAACTTGCCCAGGTTGATAGTTGTATTTACATAGAATCTTAACCGCTGCACCAAACTTGCCTATATAAGTCAAAGGCACCACCATCCGTCTATTAATCCAGTCAACTAAGGAGGCAGGATTCCGCGTGGAATCTCGGTGCTATCTTTGGTTCCTCATGCTCAAATATGTGCCAGTGCTTGTCATCTCCCCATATAACACCCCTCTAATCAATGAAGTCCAGGTATTTCCTATTAGTTCCAGAATTCTTGAATCCTGTACTAATTCCTTTGGTATTTAAAATTCCTCTCAGAACGGCCGCTTCTAGCTTTTCCAGTCTTGCTGTGACCGCCTTCCGTGTATTCTATAGTCCTGCCACACTGGACTAGTTGCTGTGCCTCACATACGACCCTCCATCTTCCATTTCTGTATCTGTGCCCTGGTGGTTCCCTAGCATGTACTGTCCTTGGAAGTCTCCAAGACTTTAAACTCACACCCCATCTTACACATGAAACCTCTCCTGATCTGCCTAGATACTAATGCCCTTTTCTAAACCATCTTGTATTGATTTTGTACATACTTTAAAAAAATGCTGTCTCCCTAGAATATTTTTGCTTTTGTACTGTTAGTTAACACAGTGCCTATGTCTGCCAAATCTCTTTGATGCCAGTCACAAGGTTCATAATTCTGTCCTTGACTTTTTGCTAAGTATCCAACTATTTTTTTTAAGGCAATTGGGGTTAAGTGACTTGCCCAGGGTCACACAGTAAATGTCAAGTGTTTGGTCTGAGGCCCGATTTGAACTCAGGTCCTTCTGACTTCAGTGCCGGTGCTCTATCCACTGAGCCACCTAGTTGCCCCTCAACTTGTTTAAGGAAGAAATTTAGCATGAGCATTATCTTGGTGCTCAAGTTGTTCCCTAATTCAAATACATTTTTCAATGCATAAAATGAGTAAGAAAAGATTTTAACTTACTGAAATGTTATTCCATAATTACACCAAGAGCAGCTCCTCAGTGAGATCATTGAGCAAAAGCTGGTTATTATGTGAATACCTCAGATTAGGTTTTTCTTCTGGTATGGTTTAGATTACATTAGCTGAGGAGGAAACCTAACTCTAAGTCATGACCGTGGTTCTAAGTCTGGGGGGGTTTTAATGAAATCTAAGATCAATGATTGAGATGTGAAAAACTAAATGTGTTTCATCACAGGAATAGGGAAGTCAAAATTTCACTATATGCTGTCCTTCACTTGGAGAATTATGCTGTTCTTTAATAATTTAATAAGTGAGTATTACTGGTTATGCTTCAGTGTTGAGTTTATGAACTAATCATGTTTAACTTAAGAAGTAAAAAACAAATATTTTCTAACATTTAGACCTGGGCCTAAATGAAGTATATTGTCCTCAACGTGGCAAGCATGCCATCATTAAAGTCCAGAGACCAGTATTCTAGTGGGATTGCTTTCATAAAGAGTTTTTCTGATTGCAAGACTATGCTACTGATAAAAGTAACTTGAATGCCTGTCTGCCGAAGTTGCCAATAAACTGTACTGAATATCCAGTGAGTTCTTTCAAATCTGTTAAAGGCAGAAAAAACTTTATAAAAAAAGACCACCCAATATTTCAAATTATCAAGATTGCTGTCAGAAAAGGAATGTCACTATTTGGGTCAGCTGCCTAAGTAACTAAATTCCTTAGCAAATATACCACTGTAATGTATTAAATAAATGATCAAATGCTACTAGTCACCACTAATAACCTGTTGATTAACGACAAACTCAACCCAGCCTTAGTCCAATTCTACCTACCCAGGATCTTATCCCAAAAAAATACCTGTATCACTTTAAACAGTCAAGATACAATAGCACAGCACTATTTTAACCTGCCATACATTTAAAAAAGGAACGAGTCAGTGTAAAAGGAATTGTTTCATAAGCTAGGTGTAACATTTTCAAATATGTATGTAAATATTTAATGTGCCAATTTTTAAATTCATTTGAACTAAAAAAGACCACTTAAAAAAACCCACGCCTTTTTGAGATTTGATTCACCTGTTTGTCTTAATTTTGGATAAATATATTAAAAAATACTGACATTCACACACATCAGGGTAGTCAGTCATTCATAACATCCATAAATTTCAATGTCAAACAATTTTGTGTGAAATTCAGTAATTCAAAACAATACAAATCAAAGCTTTTGTCTAAATGCATGAACATTTTTATGTCTCAGCATTTCCAGAATGATATAAAAAAAGCTTCATTTTATATTTTTTTCGTTCTTTTCCAGTCACCATCCACACACTTGTCTCATGATGCAGATGCAATGATTCCACAATATCCCTGAAATGGGAAAACATTGGGGTTTTAATAAGAATGACCATCTGAAGATAAAAAGAACCCTTAAGGCTTCATACCCAAAAGAAACTATTAACAGTCAAACATATGGCCCCATAGTTAAGCTTCAAAGTACTTTTATATACCCGATACATTCTTAGAATTCTTAGAATAATAGTACTTATGAAAAAAGGCAGCATCTTATGAAAACACTGTTCATGTTTTGGTCTTATCTCAGAAGCCAGATCCGTAACATGGAGATTTTCAACAGGAGTTCAGGTTCGGGATAGTATCATCATAAATAAGACCAAGACACAGTAACAAAACATTTAGTAATTTGTAAAACTTAGAAAAATCCATTTCTCTCAAAGTTACAAAGCTTATGCAACTATGTATAGAGTAGTATTACTTACTTTAGCATATAGCACATGGCAATTAAGAGCTCCTCAATCCTGCATGTTCAATGTGCTGTTGGCAAAGAGAATTGTCTATTAGTAATATAGAGACTTTGACACAAAGTTGTATCATTCTTCATTATATTATCATCTCACCCCTTGCGTTTTAGTAACAAGGATATTTCCTTTGCAATTATAACATGAAAAACAAAAGAAAACAAAAACTAGGGCTAGTTCCTTCTATTTCTAACAGCATGGTCTTCTCAGAAGCCAGATCCGTATATTAAGTTTTTTCATCAAGAAATCAGGTTCGGGATAGGTTCATCATTGATTAGACCATCAGATCTGTTCAATAAATTCCTCTCACTCAAGCTTTTTAAATTAAGATCAACTTTTTGACATATTAGTCACTAACATCAAACATAACAGAAACATTAACCTTTAATTAAAAATCAAAGGCAATTAAAGAGCAACACAATACCTAACTGTATCACTGGGTTAAGGTAGAATGTATAAAAAGTATCAAATACCTCAAATACTGATTTGAAACCATCAAATCAGTCAACAAGATCTTGGGCTTTGATCACATCATAGTATTCAATGGATACTTGTCCTGCCAAAAAACAAAAACAAAATCCACTACAGATTTTTAAAAGAGATAGCTCATAAGAAAATTTTTTTTAAAAAGTGTTTTCTTCCAAGCACCCAGTTTTGTATGCTCACCTGTTCCATTCAAGTATTTGTGGACTCACAAGTGCTAGCAGAACATTCATCCGGACGCTCTGATGTTTTCATTTGAATCTAGAAGAGGAAACAATTTTCATTCATTCAAATATCCAAAGATCTCATTATATCACCCTCTCTCCCAAGCTCCTCAAGGTCAGCTCCCATTTGCCCTTCTGGATGGACCGTGCCCATGGCTCACCCACTGCTGGGGAGATTTCCCTGTAAGTTGCTAGTTTTAGCTTAGAAACAACTTATTTTCACAACTACCTAATTCAAAAGTTCATACTAATAAAAAATATTTGGGTATGCAAGGACAAATCACAAAAATGAAAGTAACCCTAGTTTTTAAAAAGGTCAACATTTTTTGTAATACTTCCACACCTGATTGTTCCTGGAAAGCAGTTCTGAAAAATCACCGAGAGCTCTTGCCATTATTCCTAAAAGAGAAAATACAACAAGGTTTTTCCATAATTAAGTGTTGCCTTATTCCGAAGTTGTCCCTTTTCCCAACAACAAAAAGTCTTCCGCTCAGAAAAAAATGATCGTCCCTTCAAGGTCCTGGCTTACAAATGAGACCCCCAAATGGGATACCATCCCGAGCGTACAGTTTTGCACCGTCAGCACAAAGAAATCACGCGGGCACTGGCAGGAGCTAAAGTATTTTAGCTGGCAGCCTCCGAGCCGCTCATCTTCAGTGTGGCCTCCCAGGCATCAATTAGCATCTGACTGGGGGGGGGTAGGCAGGGCATTCGCCATTTTCCCTACGACTTCCTTGCGTGCTATTAACATACTCTTAAGTATAGCATTAATAAATGAGACCAAAATTGGAGGAATTGTGGGGGCGTTTGCTAGCACTTCTAGAACCCCGTGGTTTCCTCTCTCCTCTCCGTCCAAATACCGGGGCTTGAATGCGGTCCCGCCAAAGCCACGCTTTGCTTTCAGTCTCCACGCGGTCGAGAACGCTCCTCCCTGCCCTCCTATAATGCATTGCGCGGCCCCGCACGGAACGCTAGGACTCGTAGTTTCGCTGCCCGCCAATAAAGGCCGCCTACGGAAAACTGCCAGTCATCCCAAATCCCCCGACCCATCCTCCAGCCCCATCCCCACCGCCAGCAGGTCCTGGCACGCCCTACAGGAGATGCTTTTTTTATCCTTCCTGTCCACCTCTCGAAATGCCCTAATGGAATCGGAAGTTCAAAGTCTCTTCTATCTTACCGTTCTTCTGGATTCTCAAAGAATTAAGAACGTTGTCCTCTTGCACCGCCCCCCCAACCTTCCACCGTAAACCCTGAAATTGTCAGACAGCCATCCGAGCTCTCCCAGAGTTCCTTACCTGTATAACAGCCAGCAAAACCGTCCAGCAGGAAAGAGTTCAACAGCCTTAGGGCAGCTCCTTATATAACCTCTGCGCAATCAGAACGAGGCTGCCTCCGCCCCCCTCACTGTCCATTGGACGTCTAAAAGGTGATGGGCGGGGAGAGGGGGGCGGGTACTCACGCTGATCTGAATAGGGCGTGCCGGGTACTTTCGGAACTCCTCGCCTGCTTTCCGTGTTCCAGCATGTGTCGCTTCTCTGTTCTTCCGGGGCGCCTTGGGTGCGCGCACGCACGCACGCACGGAGGAGCAAAGAGCGACTGCCTTCTCGTGGGTGGGGAGGCGCGCTGCTTGTCTAGTCCTGGCAAGTTCGGTCTGCTCTTCATTAGGCTCGCGCTGTCGGGCCTGGCCCTGCTTGGCTCGGGGAGTGGCGCCAGAATTCAAACAGGCACTCTCAGTTGGTGGCATTGGCTGCAGGCGCCGCTGGAGCCAAATTCAATACAGCTAGGGACTAGGTCTCTGATTTCGGCAGTATGGAGACCTCTCAGTGAGGAACCTCCCTCTGTCGATGCTGGTCAGCCCCTTCCATTGCCACTTGTGGTCTTATAGGTTTCTTGTTATTGACCATTTCTAATAAGACTTCAGGATTGGATCAGTGATTTCAAGGTAGAGGAAACGCTCTCTAACCAATGCAAGTCGGCATTTTCTCTTCTGTTTATAATCTTAATAGACCTGCAGAGGTTAAGTGACTTGCCCAGGGTCACGCAGAGTCCGAAGCAGGATGTGAACCCAGGTCTTCCTCACTTCGAGGACTTCTCTAGATTGAATAAATGGGATTTCTCCCCAAGCAGTAATGGAGAAGGCCGGAAGGAGAGGGGGCATGCAGACTGGGCTGCTCCTGGAGACTAGAGATTAATAGTAATAATAATATCCGAATACACAGATGCCATGCCTCAGGGGAGACCCTAGCAAAGTGCCCCACTGCTTTCTCGGCCTTCGCTTCAAGCGCTTTCCGATGGCTATTACTCCGCCCGGCTGTGTGTGCACTCCCCCTTAGGCCGGGGCAAATGCACCCTCTGCGCCGTCCTGCCGCAGCGAAGCGAGCCGGGGCTAGACCTGTCGGGGAGGCGGGGGCTTGGAGACTCCAGCTTAAGGGCTCGGATCCGAGTACACGTGCAAGCCCCGGCCCCCGCCTGCTCCCCGCGTAGCCTCCTCGCGCGAGTCTGGACCCCCTAGTGGCCAGGGGTTGTGAGTCAGTGGAAGGAACCGAGCTCGAGCTCCCCTCCGAACAACGAGATTGGGGTGCGGCCCCTTGGAGCGGGGCCTTTGAAGCCTCGAAAGCGATTCATTTAGCGTCTCGCACAGCGTAGCAGCCAAGCACTAACTGTATAAAGATTTGGATGTCTCACATTCGGGGGATGGGGAAAGGAAGCAGGGGTAGTGGAAAGAAAGGAAAAAATAGTTTGAATGGCATGGCGATTTTAGCATTCGGCAAAACAGAGAGGACTGGAGCCAGGCATCTGCCACGATTCAGCTCCACCTGAGGCAGGAAGCATTAATGCATAAATAACCACAGTGCATGTTGGGCGGCCCCATGCAGCCAAGCAGCTCACCACGACTTAATGGTAGGTCAGACTTGGCAGGGTGAGCTTCCTTCCACTCCACATGCCAGTGAAATCAGTCTCTGGACCATTTTACTCCACTAAATAACAGGAAGGGAATAAGTATTTATACAAGCACCGACTATATGTCAGGCACTGTGCAAAGAGCTTTACAGATATCTCCTTTGATCCTCATAACAACCCTGTTCCCGTAGGTAGTGTTATGCCCATTTTTAGAGTTGAGGAAACTGGGACAAAATGACTTGCCCAGGGTCATACAGATAATGTGTTTACTGTGTGCGCAGCACTTTGCTAAGCACATTACGTTTATTGTCTCATTTGACCCTCACAACAATAATGGGAGGTAGGTGCTACTATTATCCCCATTTTACAGATGAGGAAACTGAGACAAACAGATTAAGAGACTTGCCCAGGGTAACAGAGCTAGTAAGTGTCTGAGGCGAAATTTGAACTCCTGTCTCTCCTGACTATTACCCTCTATCCACTGTATCATTTAGCTTCACTAAGTATTCCACTAGGAGGCAGGAGGAGGGTTTCACTGAAGAGAAGGTGCTTCAGTTTATCTCATAACTCAGAGAAAAATTTTAACCAGACTAAATGAGGTAATTAATTCTAAGACTAGGGGGATAGGCTGCGGGTGAACCAGTAGAGGATCATGGGATCACAGACTGAGATCTAGAACAGACTGATTTCCAGATGCTTAACCACAGCTGCTTTGTTGACTTAAAAAACAAAAAGGTCTTTTCCTTTAAAATTCTTTGGGGAAAATGGGCCCATAATTGTTGCTATTGGGGGATGATGAGGCTAGTGAATCTCTAGAGTTGTGGAGTACAAAGCTGTAAGCAGCCGTGTGCTTCAGTGGATAGAGCACTGGTCCTGCAGTCAGGGAAACCTGAGTTCAAATTCAGCCTCAGACAGCTGTGTGACCCTGGGCAAGTAACTTAATCTTTGTTTGTCTTAATCCATTGGAGAAGGAATTGGCAAACCACCCCAGTATCTTTGCCAAGAAAGCTTTATGACCAGTATTGGTGTGCTGTACTTCGGGGGCTCGAATAGTCAGACACCACTGAATGGAATGACCAAACAACAATAGGGCATTGGATGGGTCAGGCACCAATATGGTGATTCCCCAGGCTGTTTAAAGAGGGTCTAGGTAGGAAAAAAGTGGGTCAGGTTACAATTTCTAAGTCAGCATTGGGATCAGCCTGTGAGTGGCCACTGTACTTTCAGCAAAGTGAGATAGAAAGACCCAGCTGAAAGAGAGAGACAAAGAGACATAGAGACAGTGACAGAAGAAATTTGATTGAGGGGGGACTGCTGTAGGTGCTGGTGATAACTGAGCACTCTCAACTTGTACCTATCCTCAAGAAGCTTGAGTCAACATTAAAAAAATATGTATGTATGTGCATATGCATAATATATAAATGTACATAAAAAATATAAAGTGATTTCCTTTCTTGGCTCTGCTTCTGTCTCTCCAGACTTTTCCACCCTACCTCAGCTTCCTTCTCATCCTGGAAGTTCCATATTTCCTGTGACTTTTTCACCTGGGGCATCCCTCTGCTCCTGCAGTTCCCTTTTTCCCTTGGTAAATTTCTTCCAGAACCTCCATTTTGAGGAAGGTTCTGGCTCTCTGGCCGCCCTGACAAGGCACCTCACATGTTGTTTTGTCCCATTAGGATGTAAGCTTCTTGAAGGCAGGGAAATATCTTTTTGCTTGTATTTGAATTCATAGCACTTAGCATGGTGCCTGACACATAGTAAGTGCTTAATAAATGTTTGTTGACTGTCTAAAAGTCAGTGAGGAAGCACTAACAAGGAGAGTTATGACAAAAGACCTCTTGTAACTGAAACTAGAAGTGATCTAGAATTTATGAGAACAGAGGTAGAGAGGGACAGCTTTCCAGGAAGAGGAGACAGACAGCACAGTGACAGGAGATATAGCATGTTGAAAAGGTCAGTCTGTCTCTGAATCATAGAATGTGTGAGGGGAAATAAATGTGTAATCAGTCTGGAAAAACAGGTGGATTCATTGATTTAAAGACAGATTGGTTTTAAATGACAGACAGGAAAATGACATGGCATGGTCAGAACTATACTCTAGGAATATGAATAGTGAACATTTATTAAGCACTTCCTATGTGCCAAGCACTGTGCTAAGTGCTGGGGATACAAATGAGAAAAAGAAAGATGGTCCCTGCCCTCAAGGAGCTTACAATTTAACAGGGAAGACAACAGACAAAACGGAGCTGAAAAGGGTTTTGGGGGAAGAAGGGGCAGTGATGATGGTGGAGTGGAATCCAAGGGGTACAGCTAGTGGGAAATGGTTAGGCTGTGAGTCCTCTTTATTTATTTAAACATATTTTAGGTAATTGAGGATAAGTGACTTGCCCAGGGTCACACAGCTAGTAGGCATCAAGTGTGTTTGGTCTGAGGTCAAATTTGAACTCAGGTCCTCCTGACTTTAGAGCTGGTGCTCTATCCACTGCGCCACCTAGCTGCCCCTGTGAGTCCTCTTTAAATGGAGTCTTTGGGGAATGCTTTTTGCTCCTTCCTGCCCCTTTCAGAGAGACAGAGACACTGAGAATAATGATGAAGTGTGATTTATGAAAGTGGATGAATGATGAGTTTTCTGGTGATGATCTTTTCCTGGATCATGGTGGTGGGTGTCAAATTCAAGTAGTATCAATTTGAGAACAGTACAGAGGATGGGTTGGAGATTGGAGTCTGAGAACAGGGAAACCAATTAGAAAATTGTTGAAATAGGGTGGCTGTGGTGTGAATAGAGATAAGATGTATTTGAGAAATGTCTTGGAAATAGATTGAATGAAGCAAGCATTTAGTGAGCACAGGCTGTATGTCGCACATTGTAATAGTTTCCGGAGACACAAAGACAGAAATGAAAAGTCCCTGCTGTCA